TGATGAGTAGGAGGTGCTGCACAACACAACACTGATGTAGAGCATGTGCTGCCTAATTAGGCTGTGTCCCGTATATTCAAATTCAAAGTCATCATCATCACCCCATATTCTTTCTCACAGATACTTCTCACTCATACATTGATAGAGTTGTATCAATTTATGGTCTTCATCTTTCTAAGTACACACACTCATCCACATGCAGCTATTCCCATATGTGAGATCCACATACACCTCAAGCATGTTGTAACTTTCCCCTCTATAAGCCTATCTCAACAGAAAGGCTCCAAAGGAATGTTGGTTTCCAGGTCCTTTGGCCAAAATGGGACTATTTCCTAGCCATGCAATAAGTAGGAAAAAAAACCCTGTCATTTGAGTGGAGGCCATTTAAATAACAACAACAACAACAGCAGCATTAAAGCAATCTTTCATCAAACATAAACTTTATTTTCCAGAAGCAACTGTATTTACTATCACAGTAAACCCCAGAAGTGAGCAGTTTTTCCATATTAGCAAAAATGATTTTTTTAGAACTTAACATACGGGATATGAGATAGCACAGTGCATTCCTTTATCTCCTCTATAATATTTTGTTTCAGCTATGGAGCACAAGGATGTGATAATTGAAGCTATGAAAGAATTTGTCACCCTGACATGTATCCGGTTTATCAAACACACAGTAGAATATGACTACATAAACGTTGTCCCTGGAGATAGGTAAGGAAAACTTACCCTTCAAGAATTAACACTACTGTATATTTCTTGAATTATTTCTACCATTATATTTCTATATTACAACAAAGATGTAATGTAAAGGTGTAAGATGTAAGCACATATTATGTGGATTAAGCTCAATATATTTCTTAGCAAAGATAATAAAACTTCAAACCAGTTCCTAGAGCATAGGTGGGCTATTTTTGTTTTAAACCACAGACATCCCACTAGTTAAAAATGCAATGCAATGACATTGAACCAAATATTTTCCTTCCCTCTTCCCCTCCTCTTTGTGGCTGAACTGTTTTGCAAAGCAAAATAGATTTGTTAAGCCTAGTAAAGGACTAGACAATGGAGAAACCACAGTACAGGAAGGCTGTCTTCTCTGGCCTCTCTTTCTGAGTTTCCTGAAAGCATCTGGGTGGCCATTATAGGACACAGAATGCTGAAGATGGGCCATTGCCTAATCCAGCAAGCCTCTTACATTGTTATGTTTTATCCCTTCTTCATATTTTTTTGCTTACCCAAGCCAAAAGCTTTGTCTCATTCAGCAAAAATTAGCTACATCCCCCCCCCCACCTTGAAAATACATCCCACTGAATATAATGGAAGTTGCTTCTAAGTAAACGTGCATAGGCTTACCTTGTTCTTTTATGGACAATCATTTTATGTTCCTTAGAATATAATTTAGGTAAGACTGCTTTTTCCCTTTCTGAATTATCAGATGCTGGTCCTACTTTGGAAAGATTGGAGGCAGACAGCAACTCAGTTTGTTGAAACATGGCTGCATATATAAAGGATTGATTCAGCATGAGCTCAACCATGCACTAGGTTTTCTACATGAACAAGCCCGGAGCGACCGAGATAACTATGTTAAAATCAACTTGGAATATGTTGCCGAAGGTAAGCCCATTAGCACTCAAGTAGAATTTCTACTATTGCCTGAAGGGAGTGGTCACTTTGTCATTTCTATTTCTTATACTTGTCTATCCATCAAAGCATTCTGGACATAATGTGCATTAAATCTATGTGCTAGAATTGGATAGCTTTATACATACGCATATGTACACTTTAAATGACACAAGGCAATTTAGCCATAATCAGGGAATGGTTTTCAATGAAGATTTAATTAGGCCTCCTAAATAACTGGAAAAGCTCAGACTGCTCTGAGATTCTGAAGTTTGCAAAGCAATCAGACTGTGACTTTGAAATGAAGCTTGGCCTAGTTTTTCCTGGCTTCTGCTCACAATAAATACAGCTAATAATATTCTAAATGTGTTACAGTGTATTGTAGAAGCTATGCAAGTACACCTTCCTTTATTTCTATATGGTTAAGTTCTCTGATTTGTGTTGGTCTGAGCCTCCTGATAGAGGCTTCATGACTACCTCTCCTTAAATGGGGGGGGGGGGGGAGCACTTGTAGCTTTAGGTGTTACATTAGCTACTGATGAGTAGGAGGTGCTGCACAACCTGTTTTGTCCTTATTGGGAGTCTTCAAGGCTAGGTGTCCTCTACACTAGATGCTGTATGTTCAATTCTCTAATGAGATTTCAACCTAGTATGGAGGATACCTACGCTTGAAGAACCCCAATAAGGACAAAACTGGTCATGGTGTGTCTCCTACTGGTCAGTAACTAATATAACATCCAAAATGTATTGTTTACAGTACATTGAATAAGAAAAAAAAATAATGAGTAAGATGAATCAAATTCCTGTAAGGCAGCAAATTCCAGGGCACTGAGACCATAACTAAGAAGTCCTTGCTCCAGGTTCTGCCGGTCTCATTTCTTCCAGCAAAACAAGTTCTGCCAAGGTTTCCTCTTCAGATGCTAATGAACAGGAAAGTGATCTGGAAAAGGAAACTCCTGGAGACGTTTATAAGCCTAGGCCATATGGACTTTTAACATGTAAAACTGGGACCTTAAATTGTGGTGGGAAAATACAATGCAAACACAACACTACCTCTGACTTCCAGAAAGCCAAACAAAGGCAAAGATGCTTTCAGATGTCTTCAGGGACAAGCTCCTGTAAAGCATGGATGAAAAATTTTCTGGCCCTTTTCAGTTATTATAGAATGAAGGCTTTTTTACTCAGATGTTTCAATTTAAGTATTCATTTCCACTCTGGGAAATCATGACTTCAGGGCTTAGATATTCCTGCTTTCCTTTTATTTTATTATTAAATAATTAGAGGCAATATAATGAAGCTTACTTAATCTTGCAAATCACATACTTACAGACTGGCACTGGGATGTTTTGTAATATAATGGTATGTATGTTTTATTGCTAACTAGCCTTGCTGCCAAAGAAGACATTTCTTATATTGTATTAGTTCCTCTACATGACTATGATATTTCTTCATTCTTCTCTCGCTGGGTTCACATACTGTATCATACTAAACTTTGGTTTAACTCCGGTTTACCAAGTGAAGCACAATGACCGCCTTCTCACAACACACTAAGCCATAAATCTTCATTTATAAACTACAGCTATTAAATTCAGATATTACTCTAAGTGTAAAAACAAGCAAACCACATGGTGGTTTAATGTATTGTGTGAATTCAGTACTTTGCCCCCCAATTGCTTTTTTCTTCAACAATGATCATCTTCTATTTTCTTTTGACATTTGATTTAAAGATGTTTATTTCTTATGTTACTATCTTTATCACAATGGCTGAATTCTATCCTTTATTATTTATAGTAGTAATTGAATTCTATTTTTAATTAACAGTTTTAATGGCTAATTGGTTCCCTTGGGTGCTATGTTATAAGATTGAATTAGATTAGGTAGATTAACAAAATCATTTTACAGGATGAAGTTTAAAAGCAATCAGAAATTCACAAAGTGTTTGACAATTAAACTGTTGCTATATTCACAAATTGTTAGTTCTAAAATATATGGATGAAAACCAGGCCTTCCTCATTTTTTCTCTGCT